TTGTATGACTAAATACAAACAATCAGAAAGGATCATTCTGGTTATGGTCGGTTATGCGTACCAGGCCATGTGCAGCATCAAAGTCAGATCCACGAGAGAAAGAGAGTTGCGAGATGGACCAGTGAAGTGTTGGAGAGTGATGGGTGCAATGGTGATGGGCATCAGAAATGAAGGTGGCAAAGCCCGCGTCGAAGCTTGATCAGAGAAGCAGTACCCCCAGACACTACATGCACACGGGCATGCGACGGGCTTCTGCAGTGCCACACTGCTATGCATAAACATAGAAACCATTGCAATTGGTTCTGGCATGCCAAGGGATTTAGGTTCAGAGGGAGGAAGGACACGCCTTCCATGGATGGCGAGGGTTCTTCGAGCTTGACGTATTTCCGAGCAGGGGTGCTCTGTCGACGGTAAATGTGCCAGAAATTGTTAAGGTAAATGCACGATTTTCATCCCAGCGCCTCAGGATCATTCAAATGGTAGGAGACATACGGGGGAAAAATTTGTGGAGAAGGGAGCTATGGTCTTTACTAGCACAGATTGCATTGTTGTCATATCATATAGCAGTCACGCAAAATTAGCATGGGAGAATGTAGTGTCTTATTATGCACCATACAAATACAATATATGTGTCGAACTGGGAGCTAATAAGCTCATGGTTGGTGGCTCCATACCGACATTTCACCATACTTAGTGACATAGAAGTCGGAGCATTCTGTATGTGACAAGTCAAATTTTAGACTGGGCTCAGAGAAATGGAAAGAGTACCTCAAGCCTACATGCGCACGATGTCCGTGGAGGTGAACCACTGGGAAAGAAATTGAAAAGCGAGTACGAGGGCATGACTCTTGATGGAAACAACCCCGCAGACTTGGTTATCTGGATCTGCAACATCTAAGTATGAGCAAACGGTCAGGGGAAAGGTCTTACCGGCACTGTTCACTGTCTCTTCCTGTCCTGATCATTGTGGTCCAAGAATACAGGGACTACCCACTTATGATGCAAACGATGCAATGTTGATGGCGCACCCAAAGAGTCCTTCTCGGCAGGTTCTGTATCCTGGAGGTGAGTTATACGATACCATGAGGAAAAAAGGGACCAACCTGAGAGAATGAATACATGTTCCATGAATCCTTCCTGTCAAGATCTATTGATGATGACAGTCATGCCGAATCATGAGCTAAGACATCTGAGAAGCATAAGATTCACAACATTCTGTTCAGCTTCAATACACGTACCAATCTCGGCACAAACGCTCCAAAGCACCGCAAACGGAGGTTCACCTGGAACAGAGCGGCAGGATGACGGTCCTGTGGGACATTCCATATTCGTATTAAGCGGTTCCAGTCGAGGGCGATACATCATCGACCATCTTTGCAGTCACTGACCACCATTGGAACTGTTCCCGAAGGAAAAAAAAGGACAGGATTGATGACATGGGAGGGCAAGCGAATGCAAGGATGATGTGCATGACGAAGGAAGAGTGAGGCTGTTCACTTCTCAGGGTGGGAGAAGCGCCTTCGTCTAGGTCCTTGCCACATGGAAAACCTTCAGGTAAGAAAATCCATGAGAGGACGGGACTTGTAGATTTCCGAGACTCACCTAGAACGTATGGCCCCAGTTTTCCTAGACAACAGAACTCTTTTGGCCTCCCTTACACCAGTTGCAAGATGGAGCGTTGTGTGGTATTCAGTTGCAGAATTTCTGTCGAGGAATCCATGAGAATGAGAGCCATGCCCTTCGAGATCGACCAGTAGAGCAGGAGCACAATGGTGGTAGTGGGGAAGGAAGCATGCCAAATAATCCCAAATACTTCGGATCGATGTGCCGACTTTCCATTTTTCATTCTCTACCTGTACCTGTATCTATCATTTTGAACCTCCGTGTTTGTACTCCCACAGAATCGCGCTATGGGCCGTTGCACATGAGGTGTCTGGGGTACCACTGCTGTCATTGAGGGTCTGACATGTGGTTTCCTTCTTCACCACCATCATGCTCCGACTTTACTGGCCAATCTCGAACCTGCGTAACTCTTTGCCATGGATTCCTTAGCATCAGCTCTACCAGAGACTTGGATACAGCGCTTCGCTCTGTAACCGGAATATCAGAGGCTGACAAAGTTCTGCTGCCTGGGACAATAGGGACTTCGCTCCAGGTGTGTCTTCGAACTCTTTCCCATTTCTTTACTGATGTATCCTTTGTACGTCCGCGGCAGTAAATTCTTGCAGGAAGTCTTCATAGTAGCTCAGAGCCCCATATGACTGAGTTTTCCGCTCGAGTTGGAGAGGGATGAACCCTTGGAACTGAAATGGGATGGAATCTGGATGATAGTGAGTCATTATCAATTTCGAAGTCTTCACCTCATTTTTTCTCAGGTTGCCTTCCTCGATACTTTGAGACAGAACACTGTGCAGTTGTCGACAACCCTCCTTCTCATCGCTCATTTCAACATAGTCACAAAGAGACCATCGACGTCTGATCTAACCATGAATACAACTTATGTTGATCACTGGGCAAGGGATTTGCCAGGCAAAGTCAGGCAAAGTAGCCACTTACTGGTCGGTTTTCCCTTCCATTCATATCAATCTATATCGCACTTATGGAACCCAAAATCAGGTTCGACGATGGATTGATCATTTACGATGCCAGCTCTCCTTTCTGTACCTCTCTGTAAGTTGGTATGCTCTTGTTTAACGATGATTTGTCTGACTGTGGGACAGTTTATGTCGTGTTTGTGTACATATTTCAATTAAAAACAACTGCGTTATCAAGTTCCCGGCATCCACTTTGCATGTTCATGCATCTGCATCATGAATCAAGAATAAGAATTTGCCTGCTTGTCAATGAAGGACCTTTAATCTTGTCTGGCTTGTGTATTCCATTACTTCACGTGATGCAACTGCTCTGGGGTACACGTACTGACCATCTTCTACTCAAAACAAGCTAAAACGTCCTCCCGCAGCTTCACGACGACGTCTTGGAAGTTACAAGGTAGCCATCAAGATGCAGCTCCACATGTCTGCTCCCCCTTGATTACGCTCATGTCTAATGAGAAGGAAGAAGCACCCATACTGTGATTTGTATATCGTGTTCAAGATTCCTTGCTCACGCTGAAGAAAGCTATTCCTGTAAGATATCTATTCCCGTCAACAAAATAGCAAATCGGCACTCGTAGAAGAGATGGTCAAAGGCCAGTTGACCTCTCACCCTGAATCCGTATCACAAGGCATTCAGGTATGTGATTCCTCTTATGCTTCGGTCTTCATAATATAACTTTAGTTCAAGCTTGTCTTGCTGGCTGAGATCATGTAATCTTGATACTTTACTGGCTAAACAAGGCGATGCATTTCTCGTCATGGAGCCTGCCATGGATGAGAGCCGCCTGATAGTAAAGTTGACAAACGAATAGTCCGTAATATTCATCTCATCCCTGAATGAGTTGAACTCACCAGTTTCCCAAGTTCTCGTTCTGGCTTCATAACGCGATGTATATTCTTCTATCCTTCCCACGTAGACAGCTGAACACTGTAGTCAGTGGATGGTTACGGAGTTCGGAGATTACATGAGCTCAGTAGCAGGATAGTGCATTTTGTTAAATTATTTTCCCAACTAGTGAGAGCTGATCTTCTTTTCACAGAAAACTTCTGGCAGTAGCCCTCCAAGCACATCTTATTCGATTGGTTGTCACGTTTCGACATGTATGCCCAATTGTGGCATGCTGGTATGGAACAGCACATGTTGATTGCACACTTTTACTGCCAGTCTCTTTTTATTGCTGTCATTGATATAGCGGGTATGCGTTTATCGCTTAGTATTGACACAAGTGAATCAAATTCTATGTTCTGCAGGAGCGAAGAAATCGTCGGAAAATCATCAATCTTTTGAACTTTGCAAGTTCAATTTGGTGCTGGAGCATGATCACAGAGTCAAAGGATACCATAAGTTTCCTCTCATTTGCTAATGTTCAATGGCTTACATCCCGATTAGATTTCTCTCTCGCTTGTGCAACTGTCCCAAAGCAGGCTGACTTGTTTGTTACCTGTAACCTGCGACTTGTTGTCAATACTGACCTCAACTCACTCGCGAGAACCAGCGAGTCATATGTGAATTATTACAGAGTTCATGGAAATGAATCTGGCAGGCAGGCATTCAGGGATGATTGGGCTGTGCCGGATTATAGAGATGCTCACAGGTCAGTCACCAGTCTCTTCATGTGCGATCAGCTGACGCATAGATATACATTTAGCACTTTTTTCCCCTCGAGTCATAATTAGGATACCTTTCTGTCTTTCACATATCGAGAATAATTCATTACGTTTTTATCTTTTCCTGCCCTGCTGATGGAGATGATCATCGAGCTTCTGTATGAGTTAGATGGTTCTTTGTTTCATTCCATAAACATTCTATGCTGTAATGTTACTATGGGCGTTGAATAGAGAAAAATAGACCAGTATCGAGTTGTTTTGGTAGTCAATGACTACTGTTTCCCATACGAGTAAGCTTTATAAAAAATCATTCCCGGTACCACATCCTTCCTCGGAATATCCTCCAAGTTTTCGTACTTTTCTGCGGCGACTAAAAAAAAATCACGAGAGTCAGTGTCAAACCACTGTTGTGCTGATAAATCGCACGTCTTCAGGTGCACCTTTCTAAGACAATAGGACCCCTGAATGGATAACGACACATGGATGCATCCTGCTGCTTTATATGTACATGCTATCTTTCGGTGTGTATTTGTCAGCAATGCAGCTGATGGAAATGTCGCGTTTCAACAGTTTGGGCCTCTGAGCCCTAATCGAGGTTGTTTCCTTGCTTCTTACTGCACAACAGCACTACCACTTGGTACACAAGCACAATGTTGACCTTGGAAACTGGAACGTACAATTTGGACGAGTTCTTACATCGACATGTTTGCCATGTAAGTACATAACATTATTCTACGGAAGCAAGGATTAATGCATTACAGATGCCTTTGATCATGTATGAAGGATCTTCTGACATCACACTTTCTGCCTCCACTGAGACGGGCCAACAAGAATCATCCATTCCAGTGCTGCAGCAGCGGTCTTATACTGGTAGAATGGTCATACCATCTGATTTAGCCAACACTCCCTGTGCCGACCTCAAGATCACTGGAGTATTGGAGAATTTCAACGTGACACTCAGCACGTCATACACTCTAGACTGTTCCCCCATCCTAAAATCATTTCTTGAATCCTGCATCGAAAATAATTATGATTTTGGGACCGCTTACGCTCATTTTCACCCCAACAAGTGTCATGATCCCACCACCATCGAAGACGGATTATGCAAGCGCAAAGTGAAGGACAAGGAGGACAGAGAGATGTGACAAGAGGTGCTCTGTGATAGCAGGATCAGCACAAGGCAAGTACACCCTTGGCGCATGTGGGATCTGTTTGCTAATCGGGTGGTGCCATACTGGGTCTTTAATTATGCACCGTGGGGAATATCACACACATGGATGGATGAGAAGGATCGCAAGGATGTGTGGACCCCTATCAATGGATATGAGTGGCCCGTGCCTATGCCGAAGGATGCTGACCTTAATCTGATCCACATTGAGATGTTGAACAAAGGAGTGGTGTATGTGTGGTTGGATGTTCTGTGTTTGAGGCAGAAGTATCATCCTAGGCAGGATCACCTTGAGGAGGATCACTGCAGGGAGAAACTCTGCATGGAGGAGTGGAAACTCGACATGCCCACGATCGGGTATGTGTATGATGAAGCATGTGTGATGTACTATCTCAGTGGACTGGGTCAGCCACTGAGTTTAACACCTGGATACTTTGACAGTGATCACCATTGGTTCAATTGAGCTTGGACACTTCAGGAGAGTGGTGGCAGGATTGTCATTGGTGGTGACACTGGCAATGACAAAGTTCAAACTACATTCTATGAAAAACTGAAATTATTAAGGGATATACACTCATCCAGTTCAGTGGGTAACCTCCTGTTGCAGATGCAGAAATGGGTGTCAACATATCCTATTGACAGAGTTGCAGGCTTGGTATACTGTCTCAGATCATCATATATCCCAATATATGATGCAGAGCAGTCAGAAGAGTCTGCATGGGTGGAGCTTGTGAATGCCATGGATGATCTTTCTTTGAGACAGCTGTTGTTCTGCTACCCTGAGCCTGGGAGCAGAAGCAAATTTTGGTGACCATCATGGATGCAGATAATGCACTTGGCACCCCTGGTTAATTTTAACTCACTTTGTCAGATTGATTGGATGGAGGAGACAGATATTGACTGGTACATGAGAGAATGTATTGAATCTGCTGATGTGCAGGGATTGGCTGACACTACAAACAAAGAGCAGCCTCGGTGTGGACAGTTGGTTATCAGAGATCATACTGGGATACTGTATACTGTTGAAATCTCTGCCAACCATGAATACCCAATACCTTATGACTCATACACTCTTCTATATGGAGGCTCCTCCCTCTGTGATGACTTGAGTTCCATTGATATTTGGGTCATTGGAAGGCAGGTGCAGGATGGGAAGTTTCAGAAATTGTCAGTGATTAGTATGAACAATTATGCTCTAGGGCACCATTGAGAGGAGTTATGTCAACTTGGTATTTTGAAAGAGGATATTAAAATGATTCTGTGTTGACTGTGTAATGCACTAACTAGGCATGTAACATTGAACCCTTATCTGTCACTTGCATTCAGTGATTCAGAGTAAGAGTAGCATTACAACCACTGCATTAAGTGACGAGACTTCTTAGTCACAGAACTTGGAGTTCAAGTAAAAGTTAGAAGTGTATAACTTTAGCTGAAGCTGGGGCTTAAGGCCACAGCAAGGCTCACTTAAGTACACTTTTATAACTACTGTCCTAGTATATCATAGTGGGCTAGACTAACAACATTGGTATGCCAGAAGCACTCATGTGAATAAGAAGAGCAGCATCTGTATGGCTCTGTCTTCTGTAAGTGTATGACTTTGCCTCTGTACCCCACTGAATGTGTCACTAGTCAACCTTAAGAAGCATGACTGTGCAAAGAGGGGAGGGCCCATAGAAGTATGATCAGATCTATAGGCCATCAGACAGATCTGATGGTGATGCGAGGTGAAGCCCCAGTGATGTGGGTAGAGCAGTGAGACCGAGCAGTGTAAGGCTAGCAAACTCTCTGTAGGGAGAATTACAGTCTGCTGTTGCAAGATCTTTTGTATACTGCAAGTATACTTGGGAGGTAAGAAAACCACTTGCTTCAGAATGGTACAAATCCGCTTCTGGGAGCAGATAGAATGAAAGAGAGAGACTCAACGTTCATTCAAGGATGTGAGCTTGAGAGCAGGTTTAGACAATGGCAATGAGCTTCTGCGCTATCTGCTAGCAATACTAGGCCCAAGGCTGCTAAAGTATGCTGAGCTTCAAGCTTTGGATGAGGGAATTTATTCCTTTAGTGTGCTTTGGTCTAGATGAGATTCTCTTTGACTAATTACAATAATTGTGCTTTTATATCTATAGAGCCAAACCAGTTCCCTGCCCCTATACCTATCTGCACTGATAGCCCTTAATAAAACCCTGATATAGCTAAAACTCACTGCAAACATGTATAGAATCCAATCTGCTTGCATACAAACAAGTCCAGATATGGATAATTCCCAGCATGCTGCTAATCAGCCTGGCTCATTCACTGTAAACAGGAGTTATCTGCCCCACCCCTATCTGGCTAAACCATTTTCCATCTGAACATAGGGGTCCCGCCTGGTAGCAACCTGTTCCGTAGTAGCCCCCTATTTGCATTCCCAACAGTTTTTCCTTAGGGGGTTCATACAGGACTGCCTGCTTTAGTGATATTGAAGGTGGGTTTGCAGGTTTCCAACAGCAGACAGCAGTCCATTATGCCAATTCTCTTTCCCTATCAGATCCTGGTTCCATGCTCCATGGGCTGAGCAGATGCATGTATGGTGTAGTTGGTATGGGGAGGGTATCATTGGCTTGTTCCTTGAACAAGGTGAAAGCAAAAATTTGGTGCACACATGTATGTGGTGCAGCACAGTGGGTCATGAATGATGCAGATAAGATATGAGGAGTGATGATGAGAGTTGAATGATGAGTTGATAAGATAAGATAAGACAAAAAATAGGGGTAAATTCATGACAGACTGTATTAATGTAATAGATGGTAGACACAAGTGATATTTGTCCATACACATGTTACTTTCTATGAACAAGAAGATATATGTGTGCTATTTTTAGTGCAGATCATTGCAAGTGCCCACACTCACCAGACTCACCGTCAGGATTGGTAAGTATTACTCAGCTATATTTCTTTTCTTTGCATGAAATTTCTAGTAGTTTCTTTTAAAAGTAGTATAAAAGCTTGTATGTAGAGCAGGAACCCTTGTGCATTTGCCTTCAAGGGTTTCCTGTCACTTGGTAATTCACCCCCTTATCCAACAATATGTGGGTTCCTACCAGTCTAGATATTACCTGAGAAGTGGGCTGAGATCAGGACACAGTTGAACAGACTGGCATTCAATGTTAGCAGTGAACATGGACCTTTCTTTCATCTTAGGCTTCTCATTTATCTGTTCTACTTATATTTACATGCACATTTTGTGCACATTGTCCTTCCCTTCCTCACTATGTGTGTATTAACAATTTTCTAGAGAGAATTCTTTCCTGTTTCATACCATCAAGTCACTTTCTTGGCACTCAGATTTCCTCCTCAATATCAAGCCATTCTCAATGCTTCTAATTCCAGTTATGAATGTCTCCTGTGCCATGATTTATGTCTGAAATGGCATAGATTTCATCATTGTAGAGAGTCAACTCAAGGATAAAATACATTGTGAGCTCCGAGCAAACAACATCTCAGAGTATTCAGGGCTTTGTGATATTACTTGCCAAACAGTCTAGGTAATATACTGGGCACCCTCATAAATTCAGCTTTCATAGCTCCCTGTTGCTCAAGTATTGTTAGCCACTAACTCTATCGACTTAGATCGTGCTAGGATCGCTACTCGCACTTCGGTAGATGATACTCTAACAAGTCAAAGACGATGAAAGTCGATGGAACAGACAGTCACGAAGAACGGAGTTCGATATTAGGTAGATTAAACCTTAGCCGAAGCTGGGGTTTAGGCCAGCTGAGACTCTACTTAAATACACATTGCGTAGGCTAAAAATAGTACTGTGAGAATGTCCAATCGGAACCGCAGCATAGGGTAAGCATAAATACGTAAGAAAAAAGAAAAGAATAACCATAACATTACCCCCTCCCTAAGGCTCATTCGTCCCGATGAGACACTGAACCTTGGTTTCTCCTTCCTTCCACATGAGCGAGTTGAGGGTCTCCCTTCTGCTTTAAAACAGGATCGATTGGGCCTCCGCTACGCCTAGAAAAGACACTTGTTGTGTTCAGCTCCTGACCTGCTCTCCCCCTGGACTCAGGCATCCGTTAGAGAACCTGAGCCACCCTGCGCCGGTTAGTCCTCAACTGTCTGTCGGGATCCGCGATCCCTAAGGGTTCAATGCTCGTAAATGAGCGGTGGAAATCCCCTTCTACACCGTAGATATTCCTTAGGCCTCGTTTGTTCCGGACGAACCGCCAGAATCCCATTCATCGTCCTCGTCGCCTGAAGATGAGTTTTTGGATTCGGAGTAAAATGAGGAGTAGTCATCATGATCATCGTTGTCATCATCTTCATTTTTATCCCAATCTTCAGTGACTCGTTGTAAGCTTTCGAGGTCGAGTTTGGAATCCTCATCGTCTGAGGTCGTTTCCACGATGGGTATCCCATCTGCTTCTTCTGCAGTGACTTCTTGAATCTCCATATACGACTGTGAGTCTGAGTGTTTTGGGTTGGTACATTCGGAGGAGTAGACAGTTTCGATATCCGTGATACACGGGGTATCTGGGTCGTGGTAGATCATCCCAGCACCTAGGGGTATCTTATTGTCTCTCCCAACCGTTTTTCCATGCTTGTCGACCTCCCAATGGATCCTTTGAAGATGGGCTTCATATTCAGTCACTAGTTCCTCGGCATTCGCCATGTCTGATCGTTTTACCCAGGAATTCTCCTCTCTCGGGTACCCTTTTCATTTTACTAGATATTCAGTTATGGTGCGACAGGTTCGGCCGTGACCTATAACTTTATCTCGCTGTTCCACGATCTCCTCTATCTCGTATTCTTCTTCATCATTGATTAGCTCTGGCGGCGGTCGTTCCGGACGGGGTTGATTTGGGAAAGTGGGAGCTACATAAGGCGTTAGGAGCGATTCATTGAAGCGGTTGTGAATCCTCCATTTAACTGGGAGTGTTAGCTCGTAAGCCGAGGCCCCCTTCTTTGCAACGATAGTGAAGGGTCCAACACAACGATCTCCGAGTTTCTTGGTAGGGCGAGGGAGGTTTAGGTTAGTCGTGTCTAACCACACCTTGTCCCCCGGCTGATATTCCACCGCTTGGCCTTTGTGCTTATCATAAGCTTTCTTCATCGACTCGGCCGCCTTCTCTAAGGATGCCTTTGCTTCCCTCTGTGCCTTTTCGATCTCTGTTACCAGTTTTGTCGCTGCCGGGACTATCGTCGGCTTTCGGGATGTAGTGATGACCTGTCCGTCCCTTCCAAACACCACCTTATATGGGGAGTACCCAGTGGACGAGTGTTGACGATTATTGTGGGTGAAGGCCGCTAAGGGTAGCCATTCACTCCAATCATTCTGTCGATCATTGACAAACATCCTCAGGTATTTCTCGATTTCTTGGTTTACCCTTTCTGTTTGTCCGTCCGTCTGTGGATGATACGCAGTGGAGGGATTTCCCTCGACGTGAATGAGGGTATAGAACTCCTTCATGAACTTTGAGATGAAAACTGAGCCGCGGTCCGAGATGACCTTCTCCGGCATTACCCCATAGGGTACGTAGACGTAGTCCCTCAGGATTTTGGCGAAGCCGAGGGAGGTGAGCTCTTCAGTGCAGGTGATGGGGATAATGGTTTTGGAGAATCGATCAACGATAACCAGAATAGAGTCAAAACCCTTTGAACTTGGTAATTTGGTGATCATGTCCACCGAAATATGAGTCCAAGGACGAAGTGGAATGTCATTGGGATGTAAAGGAGCCTTCTTCGGACGACGATCCACCTTGGTTCATTGGCAGACTTCACATCCTTTTACATACGCCTCCACATCTCGCCTCATTCTCGGCC